TGAACTTCACCTGACCTTGCCTCCGGACTCAGCCCTCCTGCTGTTGGGACCTGCCAGCTATCTGTGCTGTCTGAGCCTTTGAGCAGAAACCTCTCATGCACAGTTTGTAGTGCCAGCCCCGAGACGGGACTTCTGGCCGGGGTCGTATGCACTAGTGTCTGAATAGGTTCCATTCAGCCATAAATTCCAGGCACTTTTTTATTCTCTGTTTCAAACCAAACTACCCCCCCCACCCCACCCTCAAAAAAATGTTTGTGTGGCCGAAACCGGTTTGGCTCAGTGGATAGAGCGTTGGCCTGCGGACTGAAGGGTCCCGGGTTCGATTCCGGTCAGGGGCATGTACCTGGGTTGCGGGCACATCCCCAGTGGGGGATGTGCAGGAGGCGGCTGGTCGATGTCTCTCTCTCATCGATGTTTCTAACTCTCTATCTCTCTCCCTTCCTCTCTGTAAAAAATCAATAAGATATAAAAAAAAAAAAGTTTGTGTGGATCACCTACTGTGTGCAAAACAGCTTGCTAAGCTCTGACTACATCAAGAGGGGCTAGTTTATAACAGGCTGAGCTCCTTCCGTGCAGGGTGTGAGTGCGATGCTCAGGCATCTCTAAGTTCATCCCACTGGTGTCTGTTAGGTGCCTGTGGAGAACAGGTCTGATGGCCAGGCACTTGGGATGCAGCAGGCATTGGAAACATTTGGTTAGCTGAGTCCTGTGAGTCCTGGAGTTCGAATGGCCGGAAAGGAAAGGTGTCTTTCTCGAGGTCTTTTTAGTTCAAAGGCAGTAAAAGCTGAAGCTCGTGGTGCCCGTGGGAAGCCTGCCTCTCCCCTTGGGTAAGTGATCGCCTGGAAAGGCAGGTATCTTCCAGGCTTTCACATTCCTGTTGGGAAATGGGGGTTATTTATCCCACATTGACTTCCCGAGTGCCTTCCGTGTGCCAAGCCCCGTGCTGGTCCTGGGATAACAAAGCCTGCCTCAGCCACCTTATAAAAGCTGCGAAAACTGAAGGAGATGAAGCACTTTGAAAAGTCCGCACTGCTGCCTGCTGTGGACAGGGGACCCGAGACGTGTGCGGCCGCCTGCAGGGTCCACTGGAGGCCTCCCTGAGCTGTTGCCTTGACCTCTGTCAGCGTTCACAAGTCCTCCTGCTTTCTACTCCTGGCCAGCCGGGCTTTCCTGGAGTTGGAATCAGTGGCTTCCTGGCTTCACGTGCAGTCTGATCCTGGGCCAGGGTTTGTTTGAGACCCTGTTTGGATATTGTGAAAAGTGGCAGCTTTGCTCAGAAAGGTCAGCGTGAGAGACGGAACAAAGAGATCTTTCAAGCTGGCCCCTCTCGAGGCTCGGAAAAGCCCCAGCTCTGCCTCGTGTGGGCAGCCTGAGACTTTGGGGCAGATTGCTCAGGCTGGTGGGACAAACCCCCTCTGGGTTCTCGTTTCCTGGAGGGGTGAGCTGAGGGGCACCTCAACAGGTCAGTGCCAGCTAGGAGCCCGAATCTCTCCCTGTGCAGTCCTGGCCGCTGGAGGCCATGTGTTGGGTTTTCTCTACATGCATTTAATAAAATTTGGGCTTTCCCCAAAAGATGCCTGAGGGTGATTATTCCTTAGCTAAAGAATTCCTGGGAATTTATTTTGATACCAAAAGCCCTTACAGATTTGAAAATGGTAAAAATACACAATTTTTGAACATAGGATCTTGTTAAAATGCAGTTCTAACTCCTTGTCTGTGTGTGTGTTGGGAGAAGCAGGGACTCTGAGAGCCTGCACTTCTCTCAAGCCCCCAGGTGAGGCCGTGTCCCCCGAGGGCCTGGGAGCACCCTTCAGTGCTGATGATGTGGGGACCAAAGGCAGAGAGAGGACAGTCCTTGCGCTAGAGTGGAAAGAAGGGGCCACCGTCCGTCTTGGCTCTGGCCTCCTGGTCGCAGCCTGGGCCAGACTGCCAGGGAGGAGGCTGGCAGGTGGCCCACAGAGTGGAAAATCACCCACAGGTCCCAGGATCCAGCCCCACCTCAGCCAATGGCCATTTGGCCCAGCTGCCAGGACAGAATTCTCCGGCAGACTTGCCAGCCAGCCATTTCCTCTCTCCGGGAGCTCGTGCAGTCTGTTTCCTCTCTCCTGGTGGTGGCCTGCTGTCCAGCACGGGGGTTGTGGTCTCAGTGGCATTGAAGGGCTATCTGCCAATTCTTCCTATTGAACTCATGGGGGCTCCCAGCCTGTCTCCGGTGTGACCAGGGAATCCTGTATGTCCCCT